TGTATGTGTAGAATATGTACTTGAAATAATAGGGCTGTTCAGGATGTTGTGGAAATGGTCTTGCATTTGCAGTTGGAATTGCATTTGCAAGTTTTATGCTTGCTGCCATGGCAACCGCGTGCACTTTATTGTTGTGAATTTACAAATGCAACGAGTATGCAAATGCAACACCATTTCCACAACATCCTGAACAACCCTAATGTGTTTTATTTAATCAGTGTTTCTAGCTGCTATTGTAGCACTCTTTCCATTGTACTCACTTGATATTTGGCGGCAATAAGTATCCACAGTAGATGCCAATTAGCCGAGAATCACTGCTGTTGCCGTCACGAATTTCCACATAATCGTAAGCACAGTTATCATGATTTTCCAATTCGAATGACTGAAATTTCAGCGCAACTTGATGATTGTCCGGCACAGTAATGCGCCAAATGCATTCCCTGTCAGCGAGATACTCCAGAGGGTAGTTGGGTGAGTCGATGCGTCGATCTTCGGTGAGGAAGATATCGCCACCACAAGTAACTGAATAAGAAAAAAAAAACAAAATGGTTATATGTTTTTAAGTACACATTAAAATTGAGATTGAACGTAGTTAAGTAAGTAAAGCAAAACACAAAAATTAAACAAAATGGATATATAAGTACACAGCCAAAAATACTTTTATAAAATAATATGTTTAACCAAACTAAATATAATATAATGTGTGGAATATTTAGAATTAGAAAATGGCAGTAAGATAGTGCGCCTGATGTTACCTTTTGTTACAAAGATAAAATCGTAATGCATCGCCTGCCAATTGGAAAGTACTTCATCCAGGTAATACTTAAGCTGGGATCACACGATTTGTACATTTGGCAAAAAATTTGTCAAATTCATAGACAAATCATGTGAACGCTAAATTACATTTGTCATTTATCAGAGAAGCCAAATATTTGCCTTCTGTTGGCAAATGAAAAACAACCCTGGTTGCCAAATCGTGTGAACGCAATGCTGCTACAAAAGCCAAATAAAAATTAAGCAAATGACCAAATATCTGATTTGCCACTTGATGACAAATGCCAGTGACAAATATACAAATATTGTTGAGCGGTATTGCCATTTCGTGCTTGTGAACCTTTGTATTTTCCAATTTTGGAAAAATTTTAATATTTAATATAATATTCGTATCCGACAACTACCGAAAAATATCACGTTATTTGAAAACAATAATTTTAAAATATTTGCTCAAACTGAACATTTGAAAACATGTACATATACGTATTCGACAGTAGCTGATTGTGCAGTAAAAAAGCGTGCGACTATTTTTAAGCTTTCATGAGGTCCCAGGTTCTTATGCCGGCAGACGAACATATTAAAAAGTATTTATAAAAGTATAATTAATTTCTGAGTATAATTAACTATGAAAAAGCATATGTGAAGTTCAGAATGAGAAATTTCAGAAAACCAACCGCAAAAGTATTTTTTTCACAACCCTTCGTGGCACTTTACTATTCACCTTTCTTTCAGTTTTCGGATCTCTTTCCGCAGTTTTTGCTGGCTATACACATATTCATACATGCATATCGTCGTATTAAGTACAAAACCGTGTATCGTCATTCTGCAAAATCGCGTAACTGACATTTGCTGCCAAAAATTGGATTTGGTTACAGAAGCTGTTGGCTAAATCCTTATCCATTCGTCCTGAAATATACTATCTAGAAATGCGATTGCTTTATAAAAAAGAGAACCATTTTGAAATATGAGTGTTTTTACTCTCTAGAAAATAATTTTTGCAACCTCACATACGCGGTTTTGCCTTTTTGTTGATACGCGGTTTTGTACTTTAAACGGCGATATACAGATTATTAAAGACGATCTAAATTACACTGTGTGACAAAAAAAAAATGTATATAGTTTTTTCGAGGTTCACACTTGTTGTAGGTCTATTCAAGCAGTAAAATCTGCATACTCAGAATTTTAAATACACCCTCAAAATATGGGCTTAAGGGCAAAAACCGCGTTTTTCAAAGGGTGACGCACAGGTATACTTGCTCGTAACTTTATTTCTGTTTACTCGGTGAAAAATACGTATATATGTATGTGATTCAAGATAAGACATTTCGCTTTGCTCAAGAAATAGCAAAGGAATCAGTGATCGGACTTAAAAAAATTTGTGTGGTAGAATCTGGAAAAAAATGTGGTAGACTTCAAAAAAATGTGGTAGATCTCAGGTTTTGGATCAAACTTTGTACAAAAATTAAAAAAAATCTGCAAGGTTCCACCTAAATTGCAAACATTTTAATTATAATCTAAAACAAAATTAATTTTAGTTTAATAAAGTGCAAGATTGAAATTGATAAAAATTACGTTGAGTTTTGGCAATTTTTTTCCTTGACAGTTTCAAACATATTTTGAAAGATTTCTGGAACCTTGCGGAGTGTTGCCAGCTTTTCTTTTTATCACATCACGATGTAGCGAACAAATGTGGCTTGCTACTTGGAATTTGCCGATTTTGACAATTCTCAAGTAAAAGTAAACAACGCTTTAGAAATTTTAGATGCACTGAAATTTGCTAATCCTTTCACAAAAATCGCCGATTTTTATCATTTTCGCTATTAATTCTTTTTATAAATCATATATTTTGCAATTTAACACAATAAAACCACGTTTGATGTCGAAAAATTGAATATTGAGAAAATTTAATATTTTACAGTTTATTTTATCCTCCCATTCTGCTTGTTGTTAGTGTTTAGTGTGGGACAATTTTTGCTCTTAAAATTAAGAAAATTATGTTGAGCAAAAATAAACTACTCAAAAACGCGAATATGTGGTAGATTTCATACATACATAGGGTGGCCATTCTCAAGACAAATTAACCATATATAAATGGTTGTAAACAACGAAATGTTTTCTCTTAAATGGCATATGTAAGTATTTTTCATCGGACAAACAGAAATAAAGTTACGAGCAAGTATATGCTTCAACCTATGAAAAACGCGTTTTTTACCTTCAGCCCAGATTTTGAGGGTGTATTCAAAATTATGAGTACCCGTGCGTATATATTATTTTTGTTTATTTCACTTCAAATCTCACGAAATCATAAATGCAAAAGTATGGTTGACACCGGATCAGCTGTTTAAGTATTTATGACCAAATGGTTAAATCGTGTGAATGAATGTGGACAATATTTGTCACTTTACTGCAGTGCTCAAATGTGTGCCAAATCATTTGGATCTTTGACAGCCAAATCGTCTGATCGCAAAACAAATCATTTGTACATCGCTATCCAAATGCGCAAAAGTGGACAAATCTAAATTTGGCATTTTGTGTACAAATGTACAAATCGTGTGATCCCTGCTTTAGACCAGTCAATCTGGCACTACGCTGCAACAATTGCTATTAGCTCAGTTTTTGTACTTTCCAGTAAGAAACTTTCCAGTAACTCCAAAATTTGCTCCTAATGAGAGAAACATGGAAGAAAGTACGAAAACGCAAAACCAGCAAAAAGTTTTATGAACACCTGATTAATTTGTTGTTTTGCGTAGAAATTTTCTAAGAGAAATAATAAATAGTAAGTGGCTGCTAACGCCACTTTTCGGTCAAAATGACTTTTTGAATACCCTTCCGCAATGTCTGTAGAGGCCTGAATTAATCGTAATCCCAAAAGCAATATCACTGGAAATTGGCGGCGCACAGTGGTCTGAGAGTGGTAGAAAAAATATCCAAATCTAAATCCAATTCCGAAACGTCTCAAAACCAAAGACATGACACCAGTAGTATTCAAAGGGCACTTGACGTCGGTGTTTTATCAACCGTATTTTTCCGTAAAAAATCGTACGGGCATTTCTCAGAATCGACAATGGTAATTGAACGATCGGTTTTTGATACATTTGTTTTCATCTTTAATACCACAATCAAGAGTTTACGAGAGTTTTCATAATTTTTCTTAGTCCTTTCAGAGTTGAGAACATTTTTATAATTTAAAGCCTTTTTAATGATTATGATTACAAGGTTCATTAAACCCTGGAAAAATATTGAAACAAGTTTCAGCTGCTCGAACCTGCTACCCTTAATCGGCTTTCATAGACAGGACTCTTGATATTGGGAGATCCTCATATAAGCTGTGACATAAAGGAGTAATTGAGATCCGATTTTACTGAAATTTGCGTTGTAGTACCTTTGCCTAGGAATGAAAAGTACAAAAAATTGCATAGATTGGAGAATTTTCTCGCCCATAGCATTAAGGAGCAGGCATCCCAGTTTAATAAAATTTGGTTTTTATAAATGGATTTTTTATAACTGGTGGGCGTGTCATTGGGCCGATTTTGACCATATTTCCGATTTACTAAGATACAAACCGAATATCGTTAAAACCGGATAACATTTACTATTCCCGCCATTAGTGTAGAGGGTGTGGCAGTTTGCCAATATATGCGATTTTTTACTTCTCTTTATTCCTAAGCCAAAATACCACAAGTGAAAAATTACAGTAAAATCGGAGCACAATGGGTACCTTTTGCCATATTTGATACAGAAATATTCCACTGTGCCGCGTTTCAAGCTGAAAGGCATTTAATTTCTTAACTACTTTTAAACTAACTCCTCTATTCTAATAGAGTCACAAAACTGAGCTCATCATTGTTGTGGTTTATAGTGCGCCGCAAAATGTGCTACAGAAATTCGATTTTAAGTGCTAGAAAAATACACAAAAACTAAACAATTTGTGTTATAGTGGCCTTGCTTTGGACACCAGTATTGAAATATATCCCATAACTTGAGTAATAATTTATTTGAATTTGACTTTAAAAACAAGTGGCAACCCTTTTCAAAAATATCTTTATTGTAAAACATATTTCAATTAATGTGTGAATTATTTTGAATTTAACCATCCATTAACTGTAGAACCGCGAATTGGAAAAAATCTTAGGATTGAACTAAGTAATCAAACATCAAGTTTTAAACAAAGTCAATATATGTATGTACGTGGTGGCAACTATCGCGACAAGCACACTAACCTGCATGCTGTGGAGGGTATTGAGATAAAGCTCCAAGCGCAGTATAGTGGTTTCAGTCAAACTCTTCCTTCTCTTTGAGGGCCTGGTTACAGTCAGACAATAAAGTACCTTTATGAAGATTTCTAATGGCACTTCTTCTTACAGAAAGTGCATAGAACATAACTCTTTTTAACGGTAGCCTTATTAAAATATATGCTTGGGGATTACTTGTGCCAACTTCTTTCCTTGGACATGGTGCCAGGAATCCAAAAACCTCCTACCTGAATTTCTCTGCGAAACTCTTTAGGAAGGTTCATAGTAGTTTAAACAATAACTATCGAAATGCACATACTGAAGATTTTGAACCAAGAATAGATTTATTAATCTTCATTTTTATTTATCTTAATTTATTAATTCTGTTCAGCTTCTAGGCTAATACTAGAACAAATAACGGCAATACTGTCTTCGGCTAAGCCGATGGCTTCATACCTTTCACGACCATCAGAAAATTTTACTTTAACTTATTACTCCATTATTAGTTAGTTGTTT